AGAGAGTTTGGCTGAAAGAGGGGGTTATGACCTGGGGCAGGGGATGGGGTACAGGAGAGCATATGGATATAGGATGAGATTTTGACTTGGAGGAAAGGTCTGGGGAGGGGGTTGTTACCTGGGGCAGGGGTACAGAGGTTTGGGTTGTGACCTGGGGTGGGATGTAGGAGGGGGAGCAGAGGGTTGGGGGAACAAAGGGAGTGGGATGGCAGAGTCAGGATCTGGCAGGGAGGTGCTCATGTAGGTGGCTCCCGGCCAGCAGTCCAAAAGGACACTCAAGAAGGCTCCCTGGGCTCAGGGCAGCCAGCTACAGGGGGCCATGTATTCTTTGCAAACAGTGTGCTCCAGGGTGGGGTGAGGGGGAGAAGGTACTTCACACACTGCCTTTACCACAAGCATGGCTCAGGCAGCTCCCATTGTCCAGTTTTCAGCCAACAGAAGCTGCCAGATTGTGCTGGGATGGTAGCGTGTGCAGTCCTACCCCCCGATCATCTGGCATACACAGAACACATGGCCCTGGCAGCCAGCTGCTCTGAGGGTGTGGATGGCAGGAAGCCTGCCTGAGGGTCCCGCTGAACTGTGGGCCAAGTTTTGCTTGCCCCTGGCTCAAGCACATTATTAAAAACAGAACAAAACAGATGTGAACTAATAAGCGGTGTAAATGTAAAAACAGCATGATGTTTCCCAACTGCAACACTCATTTCCCTTACCTTTAGTGTACTCTCTTTTGCTATGCTATTTCTAATAATCTTTGTAAGTTCTTTATCAGAAGGAACTGCATTCTTTAATTTTTATGCAAATATATGGTACTATATTAACAACCACAGTAAGATGTAAGCAAATTCATGGTTTGCTAAACCTGAAATGGATGTCCACATTCACTGACTGTTACCTTACTAAGAAAGCCACTTTCTGAACAAACCTCGCAATATATGATTACTATCCTGAAGGCATTTATTGGCTCATTCTGTAACACTTTCCTCAACATTTCCTCTGGTTTTTGGCCAAATTCAGTTCTCAACCTTTTGGTTCAGCCTCTATTCTGAATTCTTATGGAACCAACTAGTCACAGCAGTAGCAACTCTAGCTCATCAAGCACTAATATATTTAACACCACCAACCTGATTGAGACTTTTTTAAAATCAGTAATTTTAAAAACAAATTGTCTCCCTGCCAGTTACTACCATGTGGGGGTCCTGGTCAACAGGGCATGGGGTCAGCTCAAGCCAAACAGAATAAGATGAAGACAAGATTTCTCACTGAACAGAACTGTTCCTGTAAGGCAGGCATGTCCAAAGTCCGGCCCGGGGGCCAATTGCGGCCCGTGTTCCGGTTTAATACGGCCCCACGGGTAATTTGGCAATATCTATCTTTTATGGCCCCCAATGAATCCATATGTATTGAGATGAATACATTGTAAAATCTCAGTTAAAGTCAGTTGGTCTAAATCAGTTATAAATATATTTGGACACAACATGTATACTTGGTGTTATGTTCCTGTTCATATTTTTTGAACTTAAAAGTTGACAGACAACCTTTATTACCAATAATATGTAATGTACTTTACAATGTTCCTGACATATATTTCAGCTTCCTGGATTTTTTTTTTCATCTGGCCTTCAGATATGAAAGGCAGAGTGATTTAACACCTGTTTAGATTTGTCATCCATGTGACGAAATGAAAAGTATGCCGTTTGCAATAAACTTTGCATAAAATAGTTAATTTGCATTTAATTTTAATGGTTCAAAGAATGTCAGGCAAAATTGTTGGCCCTCACGCATGTTCACTTCATCAAATCTGGCCCTCTTTGAAAAAAGTTTGGACACCCCTGCTGTAAGGTATCTGCTTTTCCTCCTGGAGTGAATGTCTATAAATGTAGTTTCAAGACAAGACTTCAGTCTCACGCTCTGATGCAGTGCTCAGGATGAGTTAGAGTGGTTGAAGCTTATCAGAAGCTCTCAAGGTCTGATGAGAAGCATCCCGTCCCTTTCTCTAAGTGAGGGTAATCATTCAATAGAATCCAGACAGAACAGTGGTTAAAAATCATGGAATTTAGATGGCTAATCCGTACAGCCAAGAATAAAAGATATTAAGTATATTTAGGCTATAGAGCAGGGATGTGATAGTGTAAACATTCAAATGGTTAACTGAAGAGCCTGGCCTCATCAATTAACCTTCACAGTTACATGCAGCCCCTCCCCTCACTGAGGTTGGGGGAGCAGGAGGAGATGCAGGAGCTGGTGCGCATGAAGACCTGCCGGTCCCCTCTCCCCACACTGCAGTACTGTGGGGGGACGGGGGCAGGGAGGGAATCGGATTAAAAGCCAGCTCCCATGGAGCCACTTTCCTCCCATGTGTAAATGTGTAACAGCTAATTTTTTCAGCAGTTATGACATTTATCTAAGTAAATGCATTTTAATGTCCCTGATATAGAAGAGAAACACAGAATTAATATTACAACACAGAGCCTTCAAGTTTCGGGCCTGTAAAATACTCAGCTTAGTCACAGAGGACATTAGGACTGAAACAGAATGGTATGACTAGTTGACCAAAAAAGATAACCCTCTACTAGTAAAGACTAAAATTACTGTAAAAGATGGGTTAAATGTTGATGTTCTGGAAACCATGCAGCAATGGGCTGGCAAATATGTTGTCATGCACCAGTTAATACTACAGGATGCCTGACAGTAACATTTTTAAAATTTCTGGATGGGAATCCTGTAATAACTTCAAGTTGCTATGGAAACTTATTTATGTAAGTGTTAATGAGAACAAAGGGAACTAAGGGTATAGATGGAGCATCTCTAAACTAGTGAGATATGGAAATATGGCCAAGGAAAAAGGGCTGGGACATTTAGACATAAGCCACACCAGGTATAAGCTTAACTTTGGGGGTGAGGGGAGGAAGGGAGAACAGGTGTTGTCCAGCCTGCATGCTGGGGAGTGGTGGCGGTCGCAGTGAAAGGGAACACAGAGGGAAATGTTAGGTGATAATAAGGATGCATGGGGAGATAAAAACTTCCACGGTTCCAGAGCAGAAGAGGAGATGTGAATGATGCCAATCATAGGGTTGCACACTTTGCACTCTCTGTCCACTATTGTATTCCAGCATTTGTGGAACGGTTTATATGGTTAATTATTTTTTTAATAAAAGGACTTCTGATAACATGCAAATTGCTTTTCATGTGTTTTTTGTATCCTAATGATATTTCTGATGCTGTAAGCCCTCAAGAGACCAAACATTTTTAATCACTGTGGTCTAAGAGATCTGATTGTATACAAGTCAGTGCTTTCTCCAGCCCAATTTCTCCAGTCCAATTCTGAAGGTGGGTAGAACCATGATTAAATCTTTGGCATGAAAGATCTGCTGAAAACCCATTTGGCAGTTTCTCCACAGAGCTTTGTCAATATTACAGACCAGGTTGTTGACACTTCCATTGGTGTAGTGCTTGAATATTCCTTTCCTACTGTTGTCATTCCTGACCTTCCAGGCCACATACATGCTCTTAAATTAGTGCTCGAAGAGCCTGGCTCTTTGAATTGATGTCCCAATACGAAGCACATTTTACTGTTATCCAAATTATGTTTCATCTAGTTAGATTCCCAATACCAGCACCTTCCTTGTTCTCTGTGTTATTTGCGCCTGTGGGATTTTGCTGGATCTATTTTGTACCTTTCCTTTGTTTCAGAGTAAGGGTATGTCTACACTACCCCGCTAGTTCGAACTAGCGGGGGTAATGTAGTCATCCGCACTTGCAAATGAAGCCCGGGATTTGAATTTGCCATTTTTAAATGCCGGCTAGTTCGAACCCCGTGCCGCGCGGCTTTAGACGCGGCATGGACTAGCTAGTTCGGATTAGATTTCTAATCCGAACTAGCTGTATGCCTCGTGGAGGTGTACAGCTAGTTTGGATTAGGAAGCCTAATCCGAGCTAGCTAGTCCGTGTCACGTCTAGCCGCGTGGCACGGGGTTCAAACTAGCCGGCATTTAAAAATGGCGCCGGCCGGCTTCATGCAAATGAAGCCTGGGAAATTCAAATCCCGGGCTTCATTTGCAAGTGCAGATGACAACATTACCCCCGCTAGTTCGAACTAGCGGGGTAGTGTAGACATACCCTAACTTATTTCTACATCAGTAGTATAAAGAAGGGACAAGTTCCTCTCAACCAGATGACAAATTCAACCTTCTAACGTAAGCGACATTTCTATACTGGCATCTTTTAGATAACGCCTTCCTGTGTTTCTTGTGGGGTAGAAGACAAAATGCCTGTGCCTTCCATGTTGTTATCATCACTGAAAATGATGTGATGAGCATGTTTTGGGAGAAGGTTGACTAGTTAAGTTTTGCTCCTTCTCTTACAGTGGCAGTTTGGAGTGGAATAGAACAAAAACAATTTTGTCATGAAAATTAAATAAATAAATTTTTCTTTACGTTTCTTAGTGCAAAATGTGGATTTCTCTCTTTTATTAATCCCTCTAATATCAAAAGATGTCCTCAACAAGTTATGTTTCGAAAGATGATGTAGCTCTTAAGTCCACTGAAAGTCCATGTTCTGAATGAACTGGTAGGAATTTGAATGTGCTATGTCAATCAACTGTTAATCAATGTGAATCAAAAGTACACTGGCAAATTAAGCAAAATTGTGCCCTAAACATCAACTGTTGCACAACTTTGCTACCCACGAAATCTAATGAATAAGACTATTAAAAAGTCTGAAAAGATTATATTATTGCTGTGTTTACACTATACAAAATGTACCAAATACTAGTAAACGGAGTAAGCAAAAATACAAGTATTTTGCATATTTAATGCATCTATATAATAGAATTAAAGCAGAGAATTCATGAAATCTGATTTTTTTCTGGCAATATTTTAAATTCAGAGGCAAAAATATAAAATATTCTGTACGTTGTTGAAACTAGAGGGAGTATCCTTAATTATTATTTATTCACCTAAAATATTTAAGTGTAGCATAATAGGAGATAAATTTATGCTTACCTTGGCTGAGAGCCACCATATCATTCTTGAATTTTTTCAACACCACAAGCAATGTTGGGTACTCAATTACTACCTTGTCTTTCAAATTATCTCGAAGGCTTTTACTGGTATCCAATTCATCATAGCTTAAAAAAAATTGAAAAGTTTATTCTAACTTTCAATAGCATCAAGGATGTAATATGAATTTTCTTATTTTCCAGAAATGAACATAATTGTTAGTTGCAAATCAGAGTAAATCTAATTTTCAACTGGAAATAATTTGAATTACAAGCCAAAATTACTACCCAGCTAAATAAAACGTTTTAAAACTTCTTAACACTTTATCATAGGAAAATAGGAATGAGTGACCCAAAGTTTCTCTGAAGACTGAATTAAGAGTACCAAAAACTGATTCTGAATTAAATAATAAAGATTAGAGCTAGGGTGACCATTTTTCCCCATGCCAAATATGGGATACCAAGGGGGGGAGGGGAAGGGCTGGCACTTGGGGTTTCAGCCCTGCAGTGGAAGGAGGGGTGGCACTCAGGTCTCCAGCCACGCAGGTGAGGGACAGAGGGCAAGCGTCAGTGCTTGGCACTCCATCCCGGGGGTGGTGTGTGTGTGTGAAAATGGGAGAGAAGGAGCCTCTGGCATTTGGGGCTACAGCCCAAGAGCGACTGGGGGGTGAAGCCACCGGTGCTGGCATTTCAGTGGCTGAAGCTCTAAGTGCCAGCAGCTCCCTGTCCATCCTGCCCCACCTGCAGGGATGAAGTTCAGCCCCGCAACATGCAGAGTGGGGAGGGGAGAGGAACCACTGGTGCTGGGGCATCAGCCACCGAAGCTCTGAGTGCTGGCAGCTCCTCCCCGCCCCCTGCTGCAGGAGAAATACGGGACAATGCACCCATTTAAAAAAAAAAGTTGGGACCCGGCAACAGACCTTAAATACAGGACCGTCCCAGTAAACATGGGACAGATGGTCACCCTATTCAGAGCTCAATTTGTTTTCCTTTACCAACTGCAATTATAGTATGCTAAGTAAATAAATAGATGTAGGCTCTAATACTAAAAGTGTAATTTACATGCTTAATACTGAATATCAGTTTAACATAATTGCTTTTAAATTGTCAATAACTTACTATATAGAAAGAAAAAACATATAGTCTGAAACAGAACAAACTTATACTGGAGGCTTTTACAGCTAACTTGTAGAAATAAAATTGCGTGGAGACACGATTTAGACAATGTATGATCCCCATTATGTGAATCATATTTTAAAAATGACATAATCTTGCCATTTATTCCTCAGCCAAAGCCTCTCCTCACAGCATCAGCTGCAAACAACTCCCAGCAGAAAACTCCTCTTATTTGTCTGTTCTGCCTGGGTCACATGACTTGGATCAGCAGGCCTTTTCCATATAAGGAAGCCTTTTCACCCTCTAGGAAGGATATATTCAGAGCCAGTACTGACATCAGCTTTACGTAACACAAGTAATGCAACAGTAATAAAAAGTAAACTGAGCAGATTCCCTACAATTACATCCTAAAACTACCATATCCTCTCTGGTCTTTATAAACCTCAAAACCAAATAAAGCTGGATGGTATGTGTGTGTGAGGGGAGGGGAGAATTTTCCAGTCTTCTATAAAGTAAACCTTATTTCTAATACTTAAAACAACTGTAATGTCTAAGAAATGCTCAGATATTACTGCAATGAAATCTAAGCAACTCCCATTTTGAAACGGCAATTAAGATTATTAAATTACTACTAAATTATTGAATCAGTTGATGGCAAATAAAGTTTAGACAAAATAAATTGTAATAAATTGTATGTACAAGAGGGATATTTCCCTTAGTTGCTCTTTACTCAGCATTTATTTTTAATATAGTTTTTCTTTGCCAATAGCCACATTGCATGGATGAAAGGAGTTACTGATAGATACACTTCCAATCTGTAGTAATGTGTGATTCAGTACACCACAGAAATCAACAGACAAAAGAAATACTGAAAGTAAGCTAAAAATTGAATATTCTGGCTTTGAAGGAAACTTCATGCAAGTAATAGCTATTTTTTCTCTCTCTCGTATTCAACTTTAACCATCGAGAAAATATTTGGTTTCATATTTCTCTTGACCCAAATTAATTATGACCTGTTTTTACTGAAACCTTTTAAAAAGGATAACAGTATATTACATTTCTGATTCAATGAATGTATTCATAACTTGCAGATTAAAACACATTAACAAAAACATTTACTGGTTAACTTACAGTACTTCACATTTAAAGTATAGCAATACCTTTCCTTTGGCAAGGACCTCAACACATTCTTTTCTGGTTAAGCAAACATTTACCTCAAAGAGGCTAAACTAATTCACATGCCACAATACACTTTCCATTATCTCATGTTTTAGACAAAACAGCTTTAGCGTCCAGTTTGGCATAGCATAAAACCTTTGTACTTTCAACTATTTTATGATAGTAAATTATTTAAGTGTTAGATCACTGAAGCATAGTTTGATTTTTTTAAAGTACATTTCATTAGTGATAGACAGCAGTTACAAGCAAGTAACCAGAAGTTGAGTACACGGCATGAACTAGAAACTAAATGTAGAAAATTAGCATGACTATATTAATCAGGTAAGATATATGGAGCCTAATTTTTAATTCTACCCCCAAAAACAAAACAAAACTTTAGATATACAGGAACGGCCTTACTGGGTCAGATTAGAGGTTCATCTAGCCCAGTATCCTGTCTTCCAACAGCAGTCAATGCCTGATGCCCAAGAGGGAGTGAACAGAACAGGTAATCATCAAGTGATCCCTCTCCTGTCACCCATTTCCAGCCTCTGGCAAACAGAGGCTAGGGACACAATTCCTACTCATCCTGTCTAATAAATATTGATGGACCTAACCACCAAGAATTTATCTAGTTCTTTTTCGAACCCTGCTAAAGTCCAGGAACATTTTTTAGCTCCTTTAATTAAACATACCAACTTTATATACCAATCTTGGGGAACCAGAACATGGTCACCTGTCAGCCTTGTGCTCTTGGGGAGTCAGGGAGTGACAGTCATGGAAACCATTCCCCTCCCTCAGGCCTCTGCTAGAATCAAAGACAAAGCAATGAAAAGGCCGGGGAAGACACACCTAAACTGCTTCAGACAAGGGTGATATAATTAAGGAAACACCCCAGCCTCATTTGCATTAAAGATGGAACAGAGGGACATCTCATTAGCATACAGAATGGAGAGCAGTTCTTCCAAGGCAGGAACCGCACTGAACTATGGGACACCGAAAGCAGAGAAGCACTGCCTGATGGGAAATCCCTGCTCCAGATGCTAATGAACCTAGGCCTGCTCACACCCAAATTAGTCATTATCAGACCAATTCTAGTAACGATCCTATTGACATCTAAAATACTGAAACTGCCAAGTTGCATTGTGAGCTCGTTCAAGGAACATCACCCATAACCAGGGGTGATCAGTCTCTATTGTCTCTCCTCTTTCTCTTTGAACTATCCCTATAAAAACTCCTCTCCTTGCCCCAAGAAAAATGTTCTGATACCTGGAC